TTTACTGTGATGGGGGGGTAGTAGTCTCTTTTTTCACTTTGTGTCTCCGCATGCAATTAGAGTTACATGTGCTGTTGCTAAGTTATGCACCAGATATGGAGGGCAATGCGTGTGCAAGCATCCTGGGTGCCACTCCAGCTGTGTTCCAGTATTTCAGTGTGTCAGACAAAGCCCTGTTTATCTTTCTCGTGGTGAAGAGTGAAGGAGAGTGTCAACAGCTCGTGCATCTGAGCATCTGGAAGGCTGATGTGGCCGATTGATTCAGCAGGAGTCCTCCAAAGAAAGAAAATGTGACAGTTGCCGTAGCCTGAGCCCTGAATCTTTTTTTTTTAATTGCAGAAACCATCAAGTACGTTCAGCCCATTTAATACATTGCTTTTTTTTCCAGATCTCTTCTCCATTAAAACCCCTTAATAATTTAATTGACAATCAGTGGAATTGATCTCACAGCTCAGATGCTAGCTGCATTAAAGCACTGCAGGGAAGAATAATGGAACCACAGTATTGTAAACTGCCCCTTGCTGTACAGTTTAAAACAGGCCTTTCATCATCAAAGTCCAGAAAATACATTCCACTCTGCGAGTTTTAGAAGCTTTCCTGCTACTGCTCTGGGAATTGTTAGTGTGTGCTGAGGTCTGCGTCCCTGCTTTTTGTTACGTGTCTCTGGGTATTTGAGGGAATCTTAATTCTCGGACTGCAAACAGAAAAGCTGAAAGCTGGGAGGAGAGGAGACCATGAGCTGCAGGGGTAAAGGCAGCCCTACCACTTCCTTCCAAATCCATTACAAGTCCCCCTTCTGAATAATGCAGGAGTTCCCAGCTGTGGTCCAGCTGGCTGTAAACCCTTTACTCAATTGAACCCATAGATATGTTAACAAGTTGCTTGACTGTAACCCTTGCAAACTGTTTTTCTACTCAAAAGCTGGAGATCTGCTCCACTGATAAAAAGGCAACCTCCAGCGGGTTTAGAATCCGAAAAACACAAAAGAACTCAAATTGGGTCCATAATTAGGTCAGTGAAGGGTTCAGCTATGTAACTGAGAGCTCAGCTGAAACACAAACCAGAAGGCGTGGGGGCTTTGCAGGACCAGGGCTGGGAACCCCTGGGCTAATGCCTACTTCCTTAAGCGATCTTTAGCAGGAAGGCCAATTAAGTAAATGAGGCTCCGTTAAGCTATGGTTATGGAACTTGATGCTAACTCATAAATCCTTCAGTAGCTGCACACTTTTGCGAGCATGTGATTTATTACCAGCTTGCCATGCTGTCACTGATGCTAAGTGCTGAGCCGTGCTGATCTCATGCGGATCCTGAGGACAAGGCTGCTCGGTGCTCCACAACATGGACACTCGTGGGCCTGCTGCAGAGCACAGAACTGATCCCAGCTCTGTAATGTATACAACTCAGAGCGCACTCTGAGAAAGAACAAAATATCGCAGACATACAGCCCACATGAAAGAGCCTAGGACGGTGTTCATGTCCCAAAAATGTAAAACACTGCACACTTCACATCACTTGTTTAAGCTATCATTTTCTTGATGTTAGAGTTCAATTTTAAGACCCTGAGAAACTCCAAACCACAAAAATTAAAATCCTGTGGCTAGTACTGCTCAACCAGCTTCAAGAATTCCTTTTGGACATTCATTTTCCTCAAGGACTGAATTAACAACCAGCATTTATGCCCACGTGGTGATTTTATTTCATTCCTCCAAAATGGAAACAAGTTCTTTGCCAATGGGTTTTCCATTGCCAATGAGTCCAGCTTCTTATACAACGTAGAGCAAAAACCCAGAGGATGTTTCGACTGGCATGGAAATATGGAAAAATGAAATACATGTGGCTTGTTTCCTGGTAAGAGGTACTGGTCAATTGGGAAGGATCCATGACGAATAGGATGACTTTCCAATACTAGTGACTCAGGTTGAAGGCTGATGCTGTCCAGAACTAGCTCAGGCCTGCTCCATGAATGGGGAATTCCTTCATGTGCTTAGGAAAACAATGACACACACTACTTACTGTAAAGAAAAATCCAGGATGCAATACTTACAGGGAATATTTTCCAGCACTACTGTACATAGAACTGAGCCATGAGAAAGAGAGGGGAGTGGAATACAGTCTGAATGTACTGACTGCGCCAAACAGGAAGAGTCGCAGTGTAAGAGAGAAGGCCGTACTTCTCCATGGAAAAATTAGGCTGCTCTCTGCGCAGTTCCTCCTCTCTTTTCATTCGGCACATCTGGTGAAAACCCACCCCTGGAAACGTGATGGAAAACAACTCAGCCCAGCTTTAGTTTCCCCACGGCTGCTTCACGCTCAGTTGTAAAAAAGGCAGCAATGAGCTGAATGTCTACTGTATATCAGACCTTCCATGATGTACAAGGGTAAGACGGTCAAGTTTTGTACCTGCCCTGTTTCACACTTGTCATGCGTGTTTCTTAAGCAGTTCTCTCTCACAGAGCCCTTTTCAAAGAGGTCAGGCTCAGTAAGGACCATCCCTAGGATCCAATTTAAATATACAAATATCATAAACAAAACCACTGTTATTTGTTACATATATAAAAAAATACAGATCTGGGAGTCGTTTCTGCACACTGCTGGGTTTGAGGGTGAAAATGCCCTTTGTTTTGGGGTTCCCCTGAACATTCGTTGACGATCCCTGGCTAAAAACGTCTCTAGGTATAATGCTCCTAGGTATAATACTTCTGTCAAGTCCCAGTTTCTTATGGCAGGACTATATCTATCCTACACATCCAATGCTAACTTTTGCATTGACTTAAAAACATAAGAACAGTTACAAACGTAAGAATGGTCAATCTATCCTATTAGGTAGTTAGTACTTAATAGATCCATATATGTATTTTAGTCATTTCTTGAAAAAGGCCAGGGTATCAGCTTCAACAACATGACTGGGTAGCTGGCACTACACTCCCACAAACCTTCTTAAAAAGACACGCCTCCTGTTGTAAAAATGCACTTCCATGGAATTTTCACAAGTGTCCTCTGCTTTACGTGTCCAGGTTTATTCAGAAAAAAATCCACAGCATTGACTTTGACAGTGCCTGTTAGGGCTGTCTCTATTCAAGACTACTAAAAAGGCTGCGGTCCTTTAGCCTCTTGTGTCAGAGCAGGACACTTAAGTCCCCGAATGCATTTAACAGCTCCTCTCTGGGGTGATTCCAGAGCTGCAATACTATTTTGTATGAGGCGACCAAACTTGTACACAATATTCTAAACCCTAACCTCAAATCGACCTCTATCCCTCGCAAAACCCTAAATGTAACTCCTATCACCCTTACCGTGTTCCCTCAACCTTTCCTTTCAGTGCCAAACTTTCACTGTCTCTGTGTGTCAAGTTACAATATGCTTTACTGGCACGACTTTCACGAAAGGTATTGTAGGAACGTGAAGGCACTGAAGCAAAAATTAGAAATGCACTTTTCCTTTTCTCTGCGTCAGAGTGGAAAACAATAACAATGACGAAAGCAAAAACACATCGGGGACATGTGGTTGGTGTAACAATACTGTGACAGCACCACTGCCCACCTTCTCAGGAGGCTGACTGGAGGGAGAGGGGAGTGGGGTTTTGGGGTACACGCATCTCTCCAACAGGTAGTCCAGTGGCGGTATCCCCGAATCCTGGTTTACATTCTGTGCTGCCATGTGAGCAAACGAAGTTATAATTCTTTGCCTTTGCAGCGCTTGTGAGGTGGGCTGCCCCCCCCCCCAGATGGCTCTCAATGTCTGCCTCAGCCAGTGTAGGCTCTCATTGGGGTTGCAGGCTGGAAGCCTGTGACAGGGATCTCCCACTGGGTGGTGCACAACTGGCAGAACACCAGTGGGCTTGGACTGACGTACTCCAGACCTCGCCACGGTGCTGGCAGCGAAGGTGCCGCACCACTGCCCAGGCCCGTTGCGACGCTGCACGGCGAGGCCCGCAGCCTGAAGCGCGTGAAACGCTCGTGGCGGAACAAGGATGTGAAAGCGCCACTCTCTCGCGGTGGACAAGCTGATATGAGCGCGCGGCTCTGCCTCTTCTCGAGACCTGGCTCGCGGACTCCAGGGATCCTCCCAGCTCCGAGCCACACCCAGCAGCCGGTTCCGCCAGGGCGGAAAGCCTGGCTTCCTGCCGAGGAAGAATCCAACACCATCCAGTTTCCTAAGGGATAGCGGCACCTTTGGACGGCCTCAACGAGCCCTGTTGCACATGCAATTTCAGTCCTGTTATTTTAATTCTTAATTCCGATTCTAAAAACCACAGACTTCAACTCTGATGTCGTTTACACTGTGGTTCTGATTCGAGAGGGACTGTTTGGAAAAGGATCCTGTCTTAGACAGAGGCAGGGTAAAACTCCCTGGCGCAGGCTTTTATTCAAAGAAATTTATACCTGTACCCATTTACACAAATGGGCATTGCACTGCTGCAATCTGAGCGAAGCATCACACTCCAGGGGGACAACGCCGGCATCCCACCTTGAATTGGAACCCACTTCCTCTTACGGGCCCAAAGCCCTTAACCGCAACACTACAGTGATTAACTGGCGAAAGACTTCTCTCCAGGTGGATCTTGTGACTCATCAGCGAAAGGAATTTAAAACGTGTGAGAAACCTGCTCCCAGTTATTGCTAGGCAATTAAAAAAATGAAACTGGTCTGAATTAATAGGGAAATAACCCAGCCAGCATACAGGACGTGTGGCAGGACATGTAACGTGCGGTTTTATAAGAGCAACAGCTGCTACTACTACAAAAAAAGCAATCCAGGAGGGATGATGTGATGCAATGCCAAGTGGGGAGAAAAAACAAAGAGAAAAATGAAAATAAAACCATCACAGACGGGACCTCGGGCTGAGTGTTAGTCAGTCAGCCCACTCCAACAGGATCCCCTCCCTGTCTACGAGCCAAGGAGGAAGTCAGGAATCACATTGAAGAGCTGCGGGACTTTCTGGAGATGTACTGTACTTGGGCTGCCATCGAGCTGAGCACTCACTCACTGGACACACTGCACAGCACACAGCAACACAGAGGGAAAACTGCCAAACCCATGGAACTGATGAGAGACTTTTCTGCCAAACTCTCCTCTCACCACCAGGCGTAAGTACAAGTCTGGTTTTTCAAGGGATCATTTATTTAGTGTTTCTAAATCCAGGAATATAGAAAACAGCCAGCCAATGTGTTTTCTTTTTGTAATCTATCTTGATTTAAAGGCAGGACCTAACTTGATAATATTTTTTTTTCTGCCAAGCAGTATCAGGTTAAAACAAGACTGGTTTAGACTAAACTATTATTATTACTTTTATTTATTATTGTTACTGGGAAGCCTTCACACTTTTTTGAAGCCTAACGTTAGTTTAACAAACTGAAACGAGGTATTAAGAAACTCGCACTTTGGGGAAAGCATCTCTTTTGGGATTCCTTATCCAGACCAATTAATGAGGCAATCTGCTTGAATGGAACCTGTTTGCTGAAATGGGATTTAATCTGTCGTCTAAGACACTTGCATTTTCAACAGCAGAGCAACTCAACAGCAGAGCAACATTTTCAACAGCAGAGCAACTCAGAAGTCCTGGAGTTCAGAATAACACAAACATCCATTCATCCGTTTTCTAACTGTTTCTTCCAGTGTAGGGTTGTGGAGGAGCCAGAGCTTATCCCAACAAACAGGCTACACCCTAGACGAGATGCCAACCTTTCGCAGGGCTGACACATAGACTCAAACACAAAGACACACTTACATCTAGGGCCAGTTGTCCCAGAAACCAGTTAACCTACCAGTATGTTTTTTGAGTGTTGAGAGGAAGCAAGAGCACCCAGAGGGGACATATGCAAACACGGTGAGAACATGCAAACTCCACACAGACAGCACCCCAAGCCTGGAACTGAACCCAGGACCCCAGCGCTGAGCAGCACGAACAGTATCCACCGCGCCACCCACAACATGGCAACTGCAGATGGCTCCAAATGAATTTAAAATAAGAGGGAAAAAAATCGATAACAACCCTACTCTCTTGTTTTGTCCTGCAGGAAGGTAAGGGGCTCGGCCGGGGGTTCGCAGTGGGACCCCCGGTACGCCCTGAAGAGGTACCTCCTCCTCAAGTACCTGCAGGTGCTGGTTCTGCCCTCTGGGAACGGCCTGGTGTCCACCCTGGGCCTGCTGGGCAGCCTGTACGCCGGCCTGCTGCTGCGCTCCCCCTGTGTCTCCCGCAAGGCCTCCACCGTGCTGCTGTCCCAGCTGGCCTGGGCCGACGGGCTGGTGCTGCTGCACCGGGGGCTGGGGGTGCTGCAGGGGCAGGCCGGGGGCCCCCTGGAGGGGCTCCGCCGGGGGCTCCTGACGGCCAACGAGCACGCCAGCGTCCTGCTGCTCAGCTGCCTCAGCCTGGAGGCCTTCCTGGTGATCCTGCGGCCGGTGGAGTCCCGGGCCCTGCGGACGGCGCACAGCGCCCAGCTGGCCTGCACGGCGATCTGGGCGGCCGTGCTGGGAGAGCTGGCCACGCTGCAGGCCGCGGGCTCCGGTTTCCACGGAGACGAGGGCAGCGTACTGTCCCTGGTGCTCCAGATCTGCCTGCAGGTGGCGCCCCTCCTCCACCTCCTGTCCCGCGGTCTGGGGGGGTTCCTGTGGCTCAGCAATGCCTACATCTATTACGCACTGTACAATCACAGCCACCTGCGCAGGAAGGGCAACTTCCACTAGCGCAGACACTATGTGTTTGGAGGTCACTCGGCATCGTCACACCTGAACACAGTCCAGAGGTACGACCCCATCACAGACAACTGGTTGGACTCCAGTGGCATGAAGTACTGTCGCCGTAACTTTGGTCTGACTGCCCTTTGACAATTAATATGACCGGATGACGAAACTGGACTAACAGAAGGTAGAAACTGGTTGTTTGCTCCAGGAAAAGACACTTTTTGCTTGGGTGCTCTTTTATTGCGATGCCTCATTATCTTCCCGTGTGTGTGTGTGTGTGTGTGTGTGTGTGTGTGTCTTTTTTCCCCCCAAAGTGCAGTAAACCTTGGGTTTTACAGACTTCGGATTTAAAAGACAGAATCTGCCCAAGGGGAAACGGTGGCTTGCAAAATCAGAAATACCGGATTCCCCCCCCCGCCGTAACGATGAGAGTCGTGAAGTAAAAGTAAAAAACTTAGGTTTGAAATTCAGGTGCCCTGTAGCGCTAGGCCAAATACTTGCGATGGGTTTTGTAAGGTTCAGCAAAATTCTATTACTGATATTTATTACACAGGGAATAAACAGCTTGAATATTAATGATAAAGGGCAGAAGGACATTCTTGACTGTATTGATTGCAACTGTTTCGAAAATAAGTCAAAACATCCAGCAAGCGTATTTGAATTCTCATATTATTACGATAATTGCGCGTATTAAAAAAGCCATTTGTGATTTAACAGACATTCGGCAATAACGCAATCCCTTTTCCTCTGTACGTCCATTAAACCCAGGGTTTACTGTATTTCCGTTCCTTTTCGATGTATTTGTGTTATTCTATCGGACTGCATGTAAAACTTTAGTTCAGGGCTCAGCTGGGAACCATTACTCAGCAGTCTGAGGATGCGGAACACAGGTGTTATTGTGGAAATGTATTCAGGCTGCTTCCACATCCCTGCGAGCAATCAAGCCTGCTCACATTTGAGTTGTCAAACGCAAGGGCTCAGGACTACGACTCTTTCAGGAAGAGCTTATTTCTCCCACTTTTCACTGAAACATCTGCGTGAGCGGGACAGGAGGAGGAGTGTCCGGGGCTGTCGTACCAGATATGTCCAGGACAACAGCCCGTCAGCACTCTGTAGGCGGCAGCCCTGGACAGCTTTCCCCCGGTCAGATCACCGCACAGACCGCTGCTCGCCAGCGGACGGGCCAGATCTCCAGGATCGCTTCCCAGGCACTGGCGATTTGTGGAGAGGAACAGAAAAAACCGGGGAGGAAATACGAGTTCTCTAATTCGGCAACGTGCTGGTTCACGTTGACCTGTAGCTGAGTAATGCCAGACGCCTTGCCCAACAGGACAGACGAAAGGAAAAGCTTTCGTGACGAAACGCTGCAGTTCTCCGCGGACCCGTGATTCACTCCCATCGCGACCGTGTTAAGGGGTGCCTTGGCACGCGCTCTCCGTGACGTCACAAGCCCTAGCGTGAGCGCCAGGAGGAGGAGAACGTGCCCAGACTCGAAGGCACAGGCGCGGTACCTTCGCGAATTGTGAAGCGCACTGGGATCATATGGGTTGACTCAATCCAGAAATGTGCAGTCACACACAGGGCTCCGGATTGTGCACTGAAAAGGTTATGGATCCAGGTACTAT